AAGTTTTCCACATTTGGACTGGCCATAGCATAGGTGCATCCCATGAGGACACCACCTTATTAATAATCAATGTCTCTCTTGACAGAGGAGACAAGGCAATTCAATGTTATGTCACGCGGCCTTGCTCTTTCTCTTCGCCACAAACTGGCCCCATCGGCAGCAACCGCAAACCGCCCTACACTGGCAGCCGGGCCCGCAAGAATAGTCCCCTAGCTTGCATGGGGTTGACAATGAGATTTACAATTGCTTATTTCTTATCCGTCCAATTTATGAACAAGACAAAGTGAGAAAATAACGACAATTTGAGTTAATGTTGATCAGATTTAAAGTTGTAATGAACTCCCTGTCGTTTTCTAGTATGTAGAGCTTGTAACCCCAAATGATCCTTACATGAATGTTTTTCTCCATTGCAATTTCAGTACGCTACTAAACAATATAAAGTAATAAGATCTAACGACTATAACACCTCGTGCTAATTCTTGTTGAGATCGTGTCACTTTCACGAATGAACGTACTTTCCTAAATCTAATTTAAGTTGGCATTCCCTTAATTTATCCAACCATATGCCTTCACTTGTTGGTGTGTCTCCATTTCTTATCTTACATATTTTATCCTAGCCATCATATCTATCTTTTTATTCATTATTTCCTTCAATTGTGTTCATGTATGCTTACTTCCATACTAAAATATTAAATTTCTTTCCCAAATTAATCTGTCTTTTAGTATTTGTTTTCATGAGAAAATAGACAATTCAGAAAGAGTTAATGCAAGAAAAGACAACAGGATGAGAAGAAGAATTTTTTCTTCTCTTCTAGGAACAAACAAAGAAAATGAAAACTTGTAAGAGTGGCCATCACTTTCTAAGAAAAGACTAATCGAAAACGGTAAACATTTTTTTCATCGCATGGATATATTACAAACTTTAATTATGGAAATTATATATTTGAGAATATATTCATAGTTCTTTGGAATTTTAACTTTCATCAAGAGTTTTACTTCGTAAGAATTTATATTTATTATTTCAATTATCAAGGTTTTTAAGCTTAAAACTTGTAAATTTGTTCGACAAAATATTTAGATATCAACACGATTTCCATCAAAATTTATCCCATGTCTGATAGGGATTAAAATCATATTTTTAGTAGATTTGATAAAAAAACGATGAAATTTGTGGTTGAAAAGTTGTGGATTCCATGAAATGTGGTTAAAATTAATTGTTGAATTTAATTTGGAATTTTAATTGAATTTTAATCTAAACCAAACAAGGGCTTAATATAATAAGTCAATAAAAAATTCTTCGTAGAATGATGATAAATTAATGGGCAGGTTACGTCTGGCGATGTTTATGTTTAAGACTTAATTTGTTCGTGTCGTTATATAGGCCAGTTGCGGCTATGAAGGCATGATTTTTCATTAATCCCTTTTTAAGTTTATTGTGTGTGTGTGTGTGTCTCTCTCTCTCACACACA